AGTGAGTTTATAGAGAATAGAAGCAGTTTCAGGTTCTACAGTAAATGGAACGCAAGCCAGACGAGAGTCCACGGCACAGTTGTGGAACTGCGGCCTGACCACTCTGGACTGCAGCCCGGCTGTGCTACATTGTGTAGCAGCCACTGGGAAAGAGAGTGCCCGAGCAAAACCTCTGGCCTTTTCTCAGCCCGTTGGGAGGTGTGGTCGACAATACTGGTGGACCCTATTGGCTGAATTGAATTCACCAGGCTTAGATGGGCCAATCCAGGTGTAACACCCATCTAGGTGTACCACCCCTTCCTGGCCAGAAGCTCGAACCTCTGAGCATGCATAATGGACAACCCAGTCCCTATGCTAGCTACCTAACAGTTCTCAATGTTAACGTCTATCTAAGCCTGAATGACAATTGTAATCAATTGTTTCCAGAATCTTGAGGTATATCCTTTGGGGTTGTGGTTGGGCCTGTGAGTAGATAGACCCTCTCTTCACCTGAGGGTTCTCCTCCTCCTCGTTTCCTAAGCTCTCAGCATGTGTCAGGCACTGTGCTAAACATCTCCCAACAAAACCGCCAAGTAGATATATTGTTCTCTTAAGTATGAAGACACTGAGACTCAGAGTGGGTAAAGTGACTTTCCAAAGTCATGCCACAGTAAGAGGTAGAGCTGAACTTGAACCTAGACTCTGGCTCCAGATAGAGCCCACGCTTTAAACCCTGTCCTATGCTCTGTTACAGCTTTTCCCTGAAACAGACCAGCCAATGGGTCTGAAAACCAGAGACTCATTAGTAGATATATTTCCAAAGAAGATTAGATTTTAAAGTTAGTGTGCATTTCACTTGGTCCACAAATCATTTTCCTTTTCATTTACTCACTTATTTGTACATTACTTTGTTAGAGTTTGTTCCTGTATAGTATACATTAGTTATTTTTAACAGTTAATAGAATAGTGAGCAAGTGACCAGGGACAAATATTTCATTCTTTTGACATAAATCTGATACTGCATCACCTTCTGATCTACAATATTTTTTATAAGTAACAAACTTCAAGAGGTTGTTTTAAATAATGACACTGAAAAGCAATTTAATATCTAATACTAATGATTATTTAAGAAGCAACACAGAGACATGACTGAAATATTTGGCTCATGCTCTAGTTGTGTGCTCTTTGAGCTGATTCTGACTCCTGGAGACCCTATAGGACAGAGCAGAACATCCCCTTAGAGTTTCCAAGGCTGTATATCTTTATGCAGCTGATGGATTCAAACCACTGACCTTTTGGTTTGCTGTCAAGTATTTAACTATTACATCACTAGGGCTCCTTATTTGGCTCATATTCCAAGCCAAAACCAAAAATCCAAGCAAACCCAATGTCATTGACTTGATTCTGACTCATCTCAATCTTGTTGCGTTTCTAAGGTGGTAATGTTTAAGGAAGCAGACTGCAGCATCTGGTATGGGGCAGCAGGTGAATTTGAAACGCCAGTCAAGGATTTAATCTCTGCTCCACCAGGGCTCCTAGTTCATGTTGTTAGGTGCCATTCAAATCAGTTCTGATTCGTAGCGACTCTATGTGTAACAGCATGAAACATGGCCTGGTCCTGCACCGTCCTCTCAATTACCTCCGATTTCATAGTAGGTATTTAATATTTGTTGTGTGAATGGATTCATCTTGCAATAAGTGTTCTTTCACCCTTAAAAATCACATTAAATCATATTCCCCCTAGATGGCAGTAGTGCTTCAGTCATAGCCTTTAAAAAAAAAAAGGTCCTAAGAGTCACCTGTTACAGGTCTCATATCTTTACTAAAGAAGTTCCTTTGCAAAGCATGCGCTCTACCACTGAGCTGGGGGGAGTGTGGAGTCAGAAGGGTCTCGTGGAGGAGATGAGCCAGTCAGGGTGCGATGTAGCAACGATGAAAAATACAACTTTCCTCTAGTTCCTAAATGCTTCCTCTCCCCTCCCCCCCATCCCCCTACCCCACCATCATGATCCCAATTCTACCTTGCAAGTATCGCTAAAGCAGAGGATGTACACTGGTACAGATAGGAACCAGAAACACAGGGAATCCAGGGAGGATGATCACTTCAGGACCAGTGGTGGGAGTGG